CAGTATACTATGCGGGCCTACCATTTCCAATGAGTACAGATTTTATTCAAAATATTAAAAAAGACAAATATTTAACTTTCGGTACTATTTCTCTTACTGGTTTATAGAGTTGAAAATGTGCTACCATTTACAGAAATAGAAGTTATATTAAAACATAACTCTTCATTTTTAAAAAGAAAAAACACTTCACTGAACAATAATGAAATTGTCTTGACTAGTCAATGCAAAAGTGAGGCCAAACTGCTTTTACAATGGCATGCAGACACCATCTGCCTTTAGTTTCACTGTTTTAATGGATGTGAATATAATGATGTAAAAATAATTCCTGGACATATTAAAAAAAATTATGAGTGAAAGTCAGCATATGATAGAAAAATTTACCTTCTATAATTTCAAAAGTGAAAGAAAATTTCCCATAAGTGGAAATGTAACTATAAATACTGCAAATATTTAGTGGAAAATCAGTAGCATTTGTTATATCATGACTGACTGAAAAATTTGTGTAAATATATATGAGACTATACCATAAAATTCACTGAAAGGTAATTTTCCACTGGCTTTTATTATACATGTATTTTTGAAATCCTATCATATGTGAAGAAAAATAAGTATGAATATTATCACCATAGAGTCTGAATACTGCTTTTGAAAATTGGAAAATTTATTTTATTGGACTCAGAGGAAAAATAAAGATATCTACTTAAGATGTGGCAAATTTTTTATCATGCTTGAAAATAATTTTACTTTTAATTTCACATTTTATTCTAAAAATTCAGATGAATCTTTTTCTGCCTAGATAAAAATGCACAATATTCTGCTCCATTATTCTTGCATATATATGCATGTGCAGTTTAAAATAAAGAATACCAGGTGTTAAGCTAGTACTTCAAATTTAGTAAAACTATTTTATGTGCTATTTTGACCAATGAAATGTCTGCATTAGTAAAATGTCTCTTCGTTATTATAGTTTATTCACAATTTTGTTTTATTGTCTTTAGATTAGCTTCATGATTTGAAACTTACAAAGCAATAATGCATAAAACAAAGTACTATTTTATACTCAAACTTCAGTTAAATGTCATCAACATACAAATATTCATCATAGTCATATATCATTAACCTACAAAATTGATAATAAGTGCTAATTAATATATGTTTTTATTGTTTATTAGTAAAACATTCACTGTATTCACTATAAAGTTAGTATTTGTTTACAATCCTGGGGTCTTTGGAAATTTCTATAAATTAAAACAAACAAACAAAACCAACCTACAGACATTATAAGTACCTTAAGAACAGTTATTTAAAATTAAGACTTATTCTATTGGCAGTTTAACTATGCTTTTTCTCTATTCTATTTCTAGCACCGTAAGAAGCACAAACTATAAAAATTGCATGATATTTGGAGGACAAGTATAACACTCAGTAATAATTTATTGAATGTTTTTAGCAAATACATATTGAATGCACATTATGTTCCATATACTGTATAATACTGAAGTCCCAAAAACAAAGAAAAAAATAACTCATTGCATGATCTCTCCGAGAGGAAAAAAAATCAAGAATCACTCCATGTAATTAGTATGACTTTAGAGGCATAGGCAAATTTTCTAATTACATGTAGGTATTAATTTCTTGAATAATTTGGAAAGCATAGGTACTTTATATAAAATTAGAGATGCTTATTAGTAGTAATATTAGATTATCACTGTGATATATCTATTTATCATATTTTTTTCTGCAAATAATTGGAAGCAAAGATGTTCTGACAATCTATGTGACTACTCAGAATCTGAATAAAACTGTCTTATTTATACACACACACTGATTTCAACTTTGTAGTTGTAGTTTTTGTTTGTTTGTTTTTTCATAAAAAGCTGTAAGTAGTAAAGGAATGAAGCACATAGCTCTGAGCAAGGGTCTTAGGGAGTTAGAGATCAGCACTTTAAAGAACCAGTGTGAAAATAATGACATAGGATCTCTAAGGGGTATTGTCATCAGTGTTTACTAGCAAATGTTATTAAACACTGTATATGATGGATTTTAATTGGTTCTTTTAAAATATGCTGTGACTGTAGTAATAAGGAATCTTTATAAAACCACTAATACCTTTTTTTTTTTTAAAGTATAGCTACATCTTGTATATTACTATAAGTCTTTATAGGTGCTGTATGTTTAATCTCATAGAATTAAAGATTTTTTAAAATTTTTTCTCAAAATTATGTAACCATTTATCACTTTAAATTGATGCATATTTTGAACCTTATGTCAAATAATTAATATGTTTTAATAAAAATAAGAAATTTAAAATATTATATGAAAATTAAACTAGATGTGTTTTTGTTATAATGTATCAGAAATATAAGAATGGAAGTATGATAGTAAATAGTAAGTTACATATATACATTTAAATACCAAAACCATATTTATTAAAATGTTTTTAAATAATACTAGCATAAATAATTTAAGGCATATTTTGTTTTGAGTCTAAAAGACTGGAACATTAATTAAAATTCAGCTTGACAAGAGTATCTCAAAAATCATAATGTTGGGTAGCATACTTTACTTCCTTTTAACAGTTAACTTAGATTTACACAGAAATTTGGAAAAGAATACGATCTAAAACTCTCAACTAGTTCTCTCTTAAGTACCGGAAAAATCATTACCTTCACAGTTCTTTCAATTTCTGTCATAAGAATAGAGAGCAGAACTATATATTTTGGTAATTAATTTCCTTAAGATAATGTTAGAAACATCATGTTCTTTAAAATATAAATGAATTTCAAGGTGAGCAAGCTAGTGGATAATATTAATGACATATGATTTACTGTGACAAGAGATCTGATCTAAAACACCATTATTAGGAGTACTTAAAAAAATCCATTTGCAAATTCCTGAAAATATGAGAGTGTGATGGTTAAATGTGTCTTAATGTAGAATCTGAAAATACGTCCTTTGTAAGTATGAAATTCCTTATGTATAATATTTGGCATGCTTCCTCAGCAATATTAGAAATACTCATATACTGAATATGTTACATTATAGTTTAGGGCATTACCTAAAATTTTATAATTTTAAATGATGACTAACTATAAATAGATAGATTGAAAAAGTACCTGTGAATCAACCTGACAATATATATTTAAGGTTGACTGTTCTTTTTAAATAACTGGTCAATAATACACTGAAAATCTTCCATATACATGTCATTCTCTGAATTCAAGATAAAGCATGTGACCTCTGTCAGTCTAGAATAATAGGAGTACTAGTTTTTTTTTTTTTTAATATTTTGACTATTCTGAGTGAAATATTCTCTTTAAACTATTCCTAAATAAGGTTTATTTATGCCTTATACTTACAAATAAGTTTAATAAGATTCACTTTTTATATCACAAAAACATTAGGGACTATAAAGGCATTGTGTAAATGAACCTAACACATATTAGGCAGTGAGGAATTCCATAAATTAATAGTATGATTGATAATAAAAAAATAAGTAGGCATGTGTGAATAATAGGAGTCCTTGTTATTAAAAGAGTATCTAGATATTAAAGGTTATAATTTTAATTATTGCAGAGAACAGAATTCACTAGTTTCTAACACTTGAAGGAGAATCATAACACTGGCATTCTTACGTAGGTTATTAACTTTGATTATCACATAAATATATTGATATGTCTCTCTACACATTTAATTCTCTTCTTACAGCTGAATTGGTTCTCTTTTTCAGAAGAAACTAGTGTTAAAAGAGTATTGTGAATTCTTCTGAAGATAGTATGTGCACATGTAAATATTCATATAGACACATTAGACACTTTACAGCAAAAATTATACCTGTTTGAAGTATTAAAGAAAAAGTAGGTAATATAACTTCCCAACTTATAATTTGTACATTTAGAAAGAACACAAAGTGATACCTAAGGTAGGTTTTAGAAATAAGTTTTACTAAAACATTTGAATAGATAAAAGTTAATGAAAATTCGGGCCCTGCCTGGTGGCGCAGCGGGTTAAAGCACTGCACTGAGAAGCTAAAGCCACTTCCGCATGAGTTCGATTCCCGCCTGCCCCGGAGGTTACCACATGGTGTGGCAGACCTCTCCTGGCCCGCCCGCTGCTCCCCTCAGCAGTGTGCTTTGATCATCTGCCTGTTCTGCTCCCCACTCTGTTTCTGGTGAATCCTATCACCCTCCACATCTCTGGCCTGTACCCCAGTTCTCTATGAATAAATAAATAAATCTTTTAAAAAAAAAGTTAATGAAAATTCAGATGGGACATCACTAATCATTAAATGATTTCCAATAATGATTCTTGTATAAAGTAGTAAAATGTGTGATTGAGTAAACCCTGAAATTATCTTGAAATATATTTTTAGCAGCTTTCATTTATCATAGCAATACATTGAAAAAAATCAAGTTCTGGGTAACAAAATATGAAAAAAAATACTTAAACAATACTTTCCAAGTATACATTAGTGATATGTAACATTCACAGTAAGATGTCACCTCTGGCCTACACTCCAGTTCTACTCAAAAATAAAAAGTAGTTTATGTGGCATTGATATTTCTTTCCTTTATTTTCCATTTAGTTGTGGCTGACATTAATTGGTAGCACAAATATTAGAGAACTTAGATTAAATCTATATAATGTGCACTCACCTTATCAAATCAGAGTCGCATATATTTTTCTTGATACTAAGTATAATTATCTCTCTTGCAAAGACTTGTAAAATTTTACAGGATATCTTAATAGAATATTACTTACACCCTATATTTGAATTTTCTTTTCAACACATGATAATGAAATAGAAATGACTCAACTGCATTTCATATTTATATTCTTGTTTAAACCTGAGGAAATATTAATTTATACATATTTTGTCTTAAGATTACATACACACCTATTAAGCCTCATTCAATCATTATACATAAAGTCTTATAAATTACATAGTGAATTTTTGGACATAATTCATCAACAACAAACATATTTATAATTGCACTTACCTACTATTGAATTTTTCTGGGTGTTTTTCTCTCATGATGTGGAACCTGTGTGCAATGGAAGCATCCTAAAAGCAGAAACAGAAAAGAAAAATAGGACAGTTTATGGTCCTATTATTACATGGAAATAAAGATTAAATAGAAAAATATATATAAAACTAACTTTTTCTTGAAAATAGCATTGCCAAGAAGACATTGTGAAATTAGGCAAAAATATGTACTACACATAAAATCTGTGCAAACATTAATTATATCACCATTTTACCGTTGGCTACATGTCATGTTTGCTTCTAAGAATTGTTTTCCTCTTAATTTAAAATTCTTTCCTTTAGTAACTTGTTTGGCCTGAAGCTTCAACTATGCCTAAGATAGGAATTATAATCATATATGTCAAAAAGTAATTGAAAATATTATTACACAAGATCTGAAAGAATGGACTAAGTACAGATAGAGAAGAAATGATCAGGTATAGAAGCCTCCAGTCTTTTAAAATATTTTAAAAAAGATTTATTTTTGCATCCAGAACTGGGGTACAGGCCAGAGGTGCAGGAGTGGTGAGAGGAATCACCAGAGACAGAATGGGGAACAGAACAGGCAGACTGATGAAGTACACTGTTGAGGGGAGCAGTGGGCAAGATACGGGAGGCCTGGTGTGCCAAATGGGTCACCTCCATGGCCAGGGATTGAACTAGAGCTGAAGCAGCTGCAGCTAGCTTCACAGTGTTATGCTTTAACCTGTTGAGCAACCAGGGAAGCCCCAGTCCTTTAAGATTAATCACAGGTAAAATATATATATTTCTAACAGTCCATTATACAAGCAACTATATGACATATCTTGTTCAATGACAAAAAATTTAGTTTCAGCAAATTGGTGACAAGTCTAACTAGTTCTGAGACAGCTCTGAAAACAAATGTTGTTCTTTTAGATTTCTTTAGAATTTCACTGAGACAATATCATACTAAATGTGTGAGACTGGTAGACTATTACAGAATATTGTGTCTATTCTTAATAGTCAAGAGACTATTCTTGCTGACTTTACACAGTTGCTCCTTTTATTCTAAGCAAGTTATATTCTCTTATTCACCATTGACACATGTCTAATCACTCCAATGAGAAAGTAATATATTTACCAGTTATCTAAAGCAAAATGGGGCAATTTTTTGTGATTAACTGTTAATTTTGTTTCATAGTAGAGATAAAAGCAGAAGAAAAATCAAACACAAAAGACATAAAGAAGTTGTGTATTTGAGGGAATTTCGAAAACACTAATCAAGGATTAAAAGTGTAATGAATGAAATGAAAGGCTAATGTGCTTACTCATGCATAACAAAGCACGAGGCACAACAAGAGAGGGACCAATGCCCGCTGCAGATGGCAGAGAGTTTCTTCTACCCAACACCCCTAAGACAGAACTGTGATGGCACCGTAGTTATTTTTCCTGTTCACACATTTTACCTTCTAAATGGCATAAAATAAATAAAGAACAACAAAAACTAAAAAAGAGGTAGAGTAGCATGTAAAAAGCAATGTATTAAAAAAGTTATCCAAACACCCACTCTGTTTTGATATTTTAAGATATAACTTTCATATATGTGATTTTATATAGATAATCAACTTCCTAGCTTGCTAATAAGTAGGAATATCAGGTTGATTCACTTTTATTGGTCCAATAATTCTCAGACCCAGTTAGAGTTTCTTTTTTACCAGCTTTTCACTAATAAGTCATAAATATATTACATTTTAGAATGTGAAGTTTTCTTATTATGGTATAAAATTACAGGAAAAATCTGAATTGGGCTAGGCTATTTGTGGTATATTATATGGCATGAACATTAATTAATTTTAAGTAACATTTATTTTGACTTTATCCTTACTCTGATTCAAAATCAATTTGGAATACCTTATAATTAAATACACACATCCAGCAAACCAGCTAAACAAAGGCAAAGAAATATGAATCAAGTACTAAGGATTAATGATCAATATTGGTTATTCACATAGGGAGACCATCATTGAATTTACTTCTGTTTGAATTATTTGTTTCTGCTAACTCAGAGAACTGAGGCTTTTAAAAATAGATTGTGTGGTACAATTTGCTTTATAATCATAAATTTTTGTAATTAACACATCTCTTCCTTTCCAAGGAAACAAGAACAGCAGAGAGACAAGGAAAGAGGAAAGTAGAGTAGAAAATAGGAGAGGAGAGGATCAAAACAAGACCATTTAGTTAGACTGGGCCACTAGAAATGCTGAGTAGTCAGAAAGATAATATTAGTTCTAGCTCCAAAACACTTGGGTAATAGATCCTGTAGCTTTGAGAGGGAAAAATAAGACTAGTGAGGAACACTGGCATGCCTCTTTCCTTGTGTTGAATGGGTTCCACCACAAAAAAAAAAAAGAGCTGGCATCACTGACTACAGGATTGATAAAGGACAATGACAGCAGGTGTTCATTTGGATGAGAATTCAGATGAAAATCCCATGGGATTCTGTCCCTTTGGCAGAATCCCAAGAGGTTTTAAAGAGACCTAGAAAGGCTGCAAGCTTATCCAACAGCCATACTTTAGGAATATTTAGGATTCTCTAAAGTGAGATAAAATAAGAAAAAAAAAACACTAAAATAATGTTGGCTTCTTACATGAATTTTGCCCTTTCTATCTCTCTATACAGGACTTTTTAAGAAGTTGAAAATTAAACCAGAATCAATTCCATACCACAGAATGGACAAATTTTTCTTCTGACACTAACTTTCAAGATATATGACTTTGAACATAGTATTTATTTTCTTTGAGTTACAGCTTTCTTATAAGTAAAGTAGTAATAACCCCTTTTTAGGATAGTGCATTTGATTTTTTTGTGTGTGATTAATCTTTGTAACAATTAAGAATATTTTGCACAGCTGTTATTTTCATGTTTTCTACACATACCAAATTTTGTCTTGAAAGAAAAAGGAGGTGTTAAACATGATTAAATTTTGTAAATTAGAAATATGTATTTACTGGCTCTCAGAAAGATTATTATTCCCTAACTGCATAAAATACTATTAGTTTAAATAATAACATCATATAAAAGTAAAATATATTCATCTTCATTAAAGTAAAATAGCTAAATCTCATGCTTATCTTTTAAATAGCAAAAAAGTAATTTTTTAGATAGAAAGGTATTATCAAAGGTATATATTATTACAAGTTAAATTCCTTATTAATTTCAGAATAGGAATATAAACAGTCAACCATAAATGAGCTTCATTAAAAGTTATTTCAAAATATGATTCTATCTATAAAATTTAAAATTAAATCTGTGTACTACATGAGTTTTCAATATTTATTCAATTTCTATTTGTATCTGGACATGTTACAAGATCTCTCTGTACAGAAAGTTTTTTAAATACCTGTAACTCAATAAAAGCTTACAAAAGCTTCTGATTTTTTCCATTATTGAATATTTTATTAAATTTTCTGACTGAAATTTTCAGGTCTTTATACAATAAAACTAACAACTTCAAAAGTACAATTTAGGCCCCTTCCTGGTGGTGCAGTGGGTTAAAGCACAGCACTAAGAAGCTAAAGCCACTTCTGCATGAGTTTGATTCCTGCCTGCCCTGGAAGTGACCAACATGGTGCAGCAGACCCGTCCTGACCCGCCCGTTGCTCCCCTCAGCAGTGTACTTCGAAGATCTGCCTGTTCTGCTCCCCACTCTGTCCCTGGTGAAGCCTCTCACCGCACTTGCACCTCTGGCCTGTACCCCTGTTCCGTAGGCATAAATAAGTAAATCTTTAAAAAAAAATGTACAATTTAAAGAAGTTTGACATTGGTACAAGATAATAACCTTAACAAACACATACAGAAATTTCCCATCAAGTTCTCTAGTAACCTTAACATTTATAACCATAATCTATGTTCCCTACATTTTTAAAAGTCACTGATCTGTATTCTGTTACTGTAATTTGCTTTTCTAAATTTTCCTTGCATGTATTTAAAATTTAAATTTTTTCACATGCATCTTCCTTACTCTTTGGATGCTTTGGATACTCAGCCTTGCTTCACTATCAGCTACTTGTTCTTTTTCATTGCTAAGTATTATTCTATTGCGTATATATACACCAGTTGAATTTATTCACAATTTGCTGTCATGTGGCATTGAACAATTATGAATAAAGTTGTTATGAACTTTTGAAGACATTTTTTTTTTGTAGAAATAGATACTATCTCTTGGACAAGTATCTAGAAATGTGATTGCTGAGTTGTATGGAAAGTGTAAAATTTATTAAAAAAATCAAATTACTTTTCAAAATAAATATATCATTTGCATGACTAACAGTAGTGCTCCACATCCACACTAACTTTGGGCAGTCTTAATTTTACCATTTTAATGAAAATGTAATACATTTGCTTGGAGTTTTAACCTTATGAAACAGCACCATCTGCTTTACCAAAGCAATGTGAAATACTGATGAAACTACAAAATTTGAAAGTCCTTTCTTACTTAATAAATGTTTTCAGATTTACCACAATTTATTTTCTTAGTTTATTTCTCAGTTATGCTACTCAACAGTTCCAGCACTTTCTAGTAATATTTCTAGTAATAGTTACGCTTTCCCCCACACTTACCCATGCATCTCAGTGGTTTAAAAGGATTCCCTTTTCTATCAATTTTCTCCACAAGAAGACATGCTTAGTATCTCACTAAAAGAAATTTAAGCTTTCAGCCTGATTATATCATTTTATTAAAGTGTAATTTGAATAAAAGTAATTTAAAAATCAATATATATAAAAGGACACAAAATAAAAAGTGACTGTCCCTAATTCACCCATGTAACGTCTCTAAAAGAATCTCAATCCTTTTATCATACACTTTATAAAGAAGTATAAATGTGTATAGATGTTTGTGCAGGAGTAGGAATGCAAAATGTAGACATGCACATATATCTACACATATATCTACAACTTCTTCGTATGAATGTTTTTTATGCATTTAAGTGAATTGACAAACATAGGTTCGTATTATATAAAATGCAGAACATGTTTTCTCTTATAAATATAGCTCAGACATTTCTTTAATATGTGA